AAGACGTAGGTGGGGTTTTCGAGAACGCCTCTGATGCTTTTGCGATGATGGGCGACTCTAAGATGGTCCTTGGTGGTGTCCTCGGCTATGCTTTGAACACTTTCGCGTATAATATCTGCGCTGTTAATGTTACTAACTCTGCCTCTGCTATCCACACCACTATGCTTGATTCTACTAGGACTATTTTTATCTGGCTCTGTTCTGTTATAATGTAATATTCAGGGCTAGTTCCGGAAAATGTGGTATCGGAAATTACTACGTCAATAATGCGACTCTGAGATCTATGTCATTGTCAGAGCTCTCGAGTCGAAAGTGATACCACAAATCTGCGAAATTGCAGCCCTAGTAGCAGTGTTGGAATATGTGTTCGCTTTCCTCAGCTGAGCTCAAGAGTTTCTTCACTTAGAAGCTTGTATAGAAATTCGGGTAGATATATACAGAAACTAACAAGAATTTTCTGCAATTTCCCCACAATTTTTATATCGTCACCAACACATGCGGTTGAGCACACCGCGTAGTAAATCACGCTTTTCGCTGCTCGCCACGCTTCGTTGTTTGACCACAGGTACTATATGAGTGATGATCACTCGTTCGGTGAGCCGTTAACTCCGTACTCGCTCATACAGCTCGCCGGCTTCGTCCTACTCGTCTATGGTGTGCTTGTCTACGACAATATCGTGCGTCTCCCGTTCGGCCTGGCTGGCACTGAGAAGGTAACAGTCTTCCTCTCTGGGTATTTTATGGTTTTTCCATCAGGTTAATCCGTCTCGGGCTCCCATGTCGATGTCGATGTCTGCTGGTACTCCTCTCGAGCGAAAGCCATTCGTTATGGACGACTCAGCCAACTCAATTTTATCGTCTATGTCGAATAGTGCTCGTCCTCGTCGTGTTACCGTGAAGACTGATGTTCATGAGCCGTTACTCAATAATGCTGATACACGGGTGTAATTGGCGTACTCTACCACCGACTCGCGGCCTCACTTCCTGTTGATCGCGGTGGTTACATCAGCCGCCTCTGTACTTCTACTGAGAAATACGAACCTCCATTTCTGATTCGAATGTCGCTACTACTTCGAGTGGTTCAATGTTCCTCATTGAGTGCTGTACAGTTGAGCTGTGTG